TTTTGTCATGGAATATCTTGTTTTCTCCATTTATAATGATTTAAAGTTTTGCTGGGTACAGTAGTGTGGGTTGCCCTCCATGCTCCCTTAGTACTTGTAGGGTATCTACCCAAGACCTTCTAGCTTTCAGAGTCTCCTTTGAGAAATCATGTGTGATTCTGATTGGTTTACCTTTATATGTTACTAGGCCTTTTTCCTTTGCTGCTGTTAACATTTTCTCTTTATTCTGTAGATTTGTTTTTTTGATTATTATGTGTTGGGGGGGACTTCTTTTTGTGGTCCAGTCTGTTTGGTGTTCTGTAAGCTCCTTGTTCTTTCATAGGCATAACCTTCTTTAGCTTGGGGAAGTTTTCTTCTATGATATTGTTGAATATGTTTTCTGTACCTTTGAGTAGTGTTTCTTCATCTTCCTCTATACCTATTATTCTTAGGTTTGGCCTTTTCATGGTGTCCATATTTCCTGGATATTTTGTGTTAGGGATTTGTTGAACTTGAGGTTTTCTTTTGTCAATGAATATATATCCTCTATTGAGTCTTCAATACCTGAGATTCTCTCTTCCATCTCTTGAATTCTATTAGTTATACTCACATATTTAGTTCCTGATTGTTTATTCAGCCTTTCCATTTCCAGCATCACCTCATTCTGTGTTTTCTTTATTGTGTCTATTTCAGCTTTCATGCTTTGAACTGTTTCAAGAGCTTCTGTCACTTGTTTGGTTGTTTTTTCTTGGGTTTCTTTAGATTCTTTAAGAGATTTGTTTATTTCTTGAATTTTTTGGTTTGTCTTTTCCTCCATTTTGTGTAATTTTTTGCTTGCTTTTGCTTCCATTTATTTAAGTGATTTTCTTGTTTCCTCTTTAAACGTCTCTATCATCTTGCTGAGATAATTTTTGAGGTCCATCTCTTCTTCGTGCTCTGTGTTGGGCTTTTTAGATTTTGCTGGTGTGGAGTTCCTAGATTCTGGTGGTGTGTATTGGTCTTTCTGTTGTTAAGTGGGTGCTTATTCTGTCTTCTTCCCATATCTTCTTTCAGTGCATGCAGGTGGGGGTCTCTCCATCTCTTCTTGTGACCCAGTGGTGTGTGTGGTCCAGGGATTCAATGTCTGCAGCTCTGGATGGTCTTGCCTCTCCTGGTAGTCTCCTCACTCTGAATGATTTAGGCCTCCGTAGGGGTGAGGTCGGCAGAAAGGGAAGGAAGATTGGGGTGTTTCCAGATTCAGGGAACTCCTCCTGTGTGGGCGTGTCTACCCCAAGCAAGTCCTGCTCTTTTATGAAGGAAAAAAGAGGAGCAATGGATCTGGAGGAGAAGTGAGTTTGTAAGGGAGGGGCTGGGAGGGGAGCAAGGATTGGAGGCTGCTGCAGTTGGGATGTATTATATGAGAGAAGAATAAAGGGAAAAATAAAACTCAAAAGGGTTGGTATATCATGGAGTTTTTTGTGAGACTGTGTCTTTGAGTTATCTCAAAACTTTCACCTGTAGACTTACCAGAATGGCTGCCAAAACATGAACTAAACAAGGGCAACCATAGACAGATCTCTTTTGGTATTACACATTTTGTATCTTGGACCTTGAGTGTATGCTGATAAAGTCTAAGGATATTTCTCACATCAGTAAGTTGTAGATTTATTTTCTTGAATGCTAGTTCACTGATGATAATATTAAGAATGTTGAAGTAGAATTTAAAATCAAAAATCTATTGGGACTTGATTCCATTTTTATCAGCACTAGAATTGGAAATGTTTTACTTGACACCTCTTAATCCTAACTTGCTCCTATGTTAACTTGTTGTATGAATTGATTAGGTGTGTAATGATTTAGTAATCTATGATGTATTATAGAAGTAGAAGATCTAAACACTACATCCTATTGCATTCAATAGAAGTCCAAAGATAAGAAAGAGAGCAACTGCCTATGAGTATGAATAGGGTACACAGGATGTGTTTTCAAATCAGCATGTTCTATGTCTGGATGTGATTGTTATTGTAGAATTTGGTAGGCAGGACAAAGATCAATTAATTATAGGATATTTAAATGTTTATTTGAGAACATACTGAGACAATCTCCTTTTACAGTCAATATGCAATTTTTATTATTCTGAATTAAAGAGGGCTAGTGATGCAGATTTCCCAACATATACAAGATCCTGTGTTTAATGTCCACAAGCACAAGAAACTGATGAGGAAGCCATAAGAAGTGTTTCAGAGGAAAGATTAACATATGACATGTCATAGGCAGCACTGCATATGAAGAACTGACTTATATTTACACTGTGGTCTGAACCAAAAGAAAAAAAAAACTATATCAGAAGTGTGTATAGTGTATTTAAAATGTCTCTTTTCCACAGTAATTGAGACAACCATTTAAAAAATTTAGCTAGCATGAACATTTCTACAGATTTGATAATAAATTAATTTTATATTTTTTAACCCATGAATTTCTGAACTGGAAGTACTGTAGAATTCTCATGAAGGAAGGGAGATCTCTGGACTACTTTCTTTTTCTGAGGGACCAAAGAGAGGAAGAAAAATGAGAGATTGTTTTTCTGCTAGTGCCCTCATGCCAACCTGATAAACTGCTGACAAGGAAATAAAGTTCAACTCCATGGCTATTGAAAATATAAGTTACAAGGCCCACCTAAATCAGTTATAGGGAATTATGTAACCAACGGAATCCAATACATGAAAAAGGTGGTCCATTTATCAGAAGGAAAGCATCACAGACTGGGAACTCGACATCCTGACTTATTGTGGAGGACAAACAACCTACAAGCAATACAGCATAGGCTATAGGCGTTGGTGAATATATGAGGAGAGGTTGGTATGGCATATATTTCTATATGTTAATATTTATTCTAGATAATCTTGTCCCTGGTGTCATGAATTGGCACAGAAGGATGAGTGTGTGTTTTTTATTTTGTTTTCCAGTTCTCAACTCTCTGTGTCTCAGAAAACAGAGTTAATATCCTTTTCAGGTTATTTACTTAAAGAGGAAAACCTTGTCCTAACATAAGAGTTATTAAGAGAGTGCATTTACTTAGCACAGACCCATGAGAATAAGAAACTACCATCACAGTATAATGCCTAAGCATAGGCTTAGTGGCACATGACTGCCATGCTATTATTTGAGAACCTGAAGTCTAGGTCTGAGTATCACAAGTTCTAAGCTATTTTCTTTCATGGGATATATAATACAACCCTGGAAAACAAAATAAAACAAATACAAACAACAAATATAGTCACAAAAGAATATTTACTCCTTTAGAATATTATATAATCTATTCAAATTTTTAACTTTTATACTAAAAGGCATGAAACATTGTATTCACTCTCAAAATATAATGCTTAGCTGAGAAGTAAAATAACATTTTTAAGTCTGTCACATTCTATTTTGTAAAGACTTTTAGAAAGTAGTTCATCAATATTTTATTCTAAATTGTGGGTTATCAATGTCACTAATAATGATTTATTCCCTTGATTAAAGTACTTAAAGTGACCAGCAGTAAAATGAAGAGAATTGAGGGGTATAAACTGTGGGATAATAGAAGATTTTAGAAAAAAACTTTATTTGAAGAAAATATCTCTTGATGGCCCAGATTTAAGGCAAAGCTTATCTGTAATCTGATTTTGTCATTTTTTGTTAGAGTAAAAATAAATTCATATTGTTAGAATAAAGAACACAAAAATAAAAGCTTGGCATTTTTAGAAAGTTTACTCCTCCAAACAACAAATTCTAAACTGTGCTTTGTGGATCTGGTTTCTTTCTTCCTTCCTTCCTTTCTTCCTTCCTTCCTGTCTTTCTTTTTGATGGAAGGAAGAAGGTCTTTTTTATTTTTTTCTATTTTTTATTTAAATTAGAAACAAGCTTGTTTTACATGTCAATCCCAGCTCCCTCTCCCTTCCTCCCTTGCCCCCCAGTAACTCGCTATCCTGTCCCCTTTTTGCTCCCCAGGGAGGGTGAGGCCTTCCATAGGGAATCTTAAAAATATGTCATCATTTGGAGAAGGGCCTAGGCCCTCCCCCTGTGTCTAGGCTGACAGAGTATCCCTTTATGTGGAATGGAATGTGGATCTGTTTTCCACATTGAGATGATTGTTGAGCTGAGGTCTCACCGATGAGCATTTCAGTGAATATGGTGTGCATGCACATGGGTGTGTTTGGCAGTATCTGTGTATGTGTTACAGAAAAAGGAATTATCCATATAACTAATTTCTCTGAAGTTTAGTGCATAGATACTAACTTGCCAAATTCAATTACCATCTAGAATTTCCTCCTTTACCATGGACATGTTGAATTTCCTTATAGTCAAAAGTTGGAAATAATCATTGTTTGTCAAGGCTGCGAGACCAACATACTGTCCAATAATTCTAAGAGCAAATAAGAAAGGCATAGAGTTTATACACAATATTATACAACTTTCATTCAAGATAAAATTTTTAGTTTGCGTTGTTGCTAAACATTTGTTAATATCACTGTTGGTGGTGACTTATTTAAATAACTATTATTCTTGTTTTTATGTGACTATTGATGCTCCTCACTCATTCCTAAAAATATGTATATATAGGAGAGCACACAGTAGCACCAAGAGTAGTTTCAAAGTATCATTTTCACTATTATTCCAAACACTGTCCAATCTTAAATAATGAATCAATTTATCAAATAAGTCTATTGCACCTCAATAGGGCCTGTTGGAAAGCCTGATTGACATGTTTTTCTTTTAATTGTGATATCATTAAATGTTGGCAATGAATTCTATGATCTGCAACTTTGTAAAATTCAACATTGCTCTCTAGCATGGAAGACAAAGTTTCTCATATTGCATTTCTTTGAATTAAAAAAAATCATGATCTCAAAACAGAATTGTGCTTATCCAGTTCATTATTATACAGCGTTTGTTCTCACAGTGATTGTCATTGAATTATAACTTGTATTTACTAAACTCAGGTGCACTTAACTATTTTTCTCACTTTGGTTTCCTTGAAAGCATGGTGTACAAGAACTTACCGACTTAAGTAGAAAAAAAGACTCACAGATGGAATACTTAGCATAATTGTTAAGTGTGTAGTCTTAGAAACCCAGTTGAGGATGAGGGAGGCTGATCCTGAGCTCAGGGTACTAATTTTGCTTTCGAACTTGACAAACTCCCATTACCTGATTCAGATAATGCTAATCCGTTGCTATTTCTCATCTTGATTTATCCTTCCTTTTCCCCCATTATCCTGTAACATAAGTCATATTTCAATTTTAAGAGAAATTCCCCAGAGTTTGTGAAGGATAGTGTGCTATAAAATATAGTATTTCCAGATACATTGTAGACAATGAGTGACACATAAGACAGAGTAACTTACTTCATTTTTCTTGAGATGTTTTGTGTTGATCTTCCTTTGTAGCTGATGCTAAACATACTGAAGGCATGTCTCTGAGTGACCTTGTCTCTTCCTGTGACGCCAGGAGTGATGCCAGATGACTTAATGATGCTGGTATGAAGCCTTGAAAGTGGCACTATGCCATTTTGTTGGTTACAGAGAAGTCATCACAAATACAGATGACAAGAAAGAATCAGTATGTGTCAGTTGGATAAGACAGAAGTTCTAACATACAGACAGAGACATCTACATTACTTTTTAAAGTCACTATCTTTAAAATACCACATGTTAATCAGGATTGGGCCTTATTCCTTTATATCTGTTTGGTCACCTGTAACACTAACTCTTTCTGCCAGCCACCTGTGTTCTGCTACCACATTAGGGCCCCCAAATAACACACAGAGATTAATATTGGTTACAATTCTGCTGGCCAATGACTAGGATTTCTTATTTGCTAGCTCAGTCTTAATTATCAACTATAACTACTAATCTATATATTTTTTATAAGGACTTATCTTACTGAGGACTCCAGCCTTAGCGTCCAGTGTTCATGGGATCACATGGTGACTCCTGTATTTATTACATTTCCCACAATTCTCCTCAACTCCTAGCCCCACCTACCTTGCTTTCCTATTGGCCAACAGTGCTTTATTTATCAACCAATAAGACAAACATATACACAGAAGGACTTCCCCCATCAGTCACTCTATAATGTTTTCAATAATTATGTCATTTCTTATTTGTAAAATTCTTTCTCAGCAAAAGTCCTTGAGACAAAACTTCAAGAGATAACACTATCTTTCTTTTAAAAATAAATCAGTTAAATAAAAAATCCAAAATTTGTAGAACTGATGGTTATATATAATTTGAAGTTTCAGTCTTTAGGGCAATAAATTATTAGAGAGCATGATTTAAATATTTAAACACAAGAGTAAGAAGAAAACTTCCTTGAAGATGCTTAGAGTTTGGATAGTAGTAAAAAGTGGGATGGTGGAAACTGGGCATGAGTGTTTTCAAGCTGGATAATAACAATACTAATGGTATGCTAGCAACAGGCTATATGTGCAGCAGCAGCTCATCCATCTCAGTTGCAGAGCCTTGGCTGGGCTTCCTGGAACTTTCTTTAGTTATCTGCCACCTGTGAATCCAATGGCTTCCCACAAACCCTTTTTCTTCACACCAATCTTGTTCTACTTACAATAACTTTAAGCTCTATATTGAAAGACTTGTGTGATTGACTACATATCAAAGTGACGTGCTTCAATTTCATCTTTCCATGCTTAACTTTTACCTAACAACTAACTTTGTGTTTTTGCTATATAAGAAATTGGCATATAATAACTAACTCATATTTTAATGTAAGTTTTGACACTCTGTCATATAAACACTCATGAAACTAACTCTACATTGAAGATAGAGGTCAAATCTGACAAGCTCAAATTATTGTCTTCTGTTATTTCATGTTTTTATTTTTCTCTCTGTCACAATTACCTCTGTTATTTAACAACCAATATAAACATTCTTTTTGCTTTCAATTATTACATATTGGTTTGAGCATTGTACAATTTATATATAATAGAAGTATAACATATTGTTTAAGACTATTTTGGTCAAAACCCCATGAGAACCAGAGTTTAATTAGCAGAACTCACATGATGGAAACAGAATAGATTCCTTCAATGTGACCTTTGAGGCATGCATGCAACACTGCATACATGCATAATACGTAAATTTAAAAGAAAAGCAGATTTGGGAAAATTTCTGTTAATGTATCAAAATTTTGTTCCTTTTGTTTTGGAAAACAGTCTATCCTATGAATTTATCCGTTTTTTTAGTCAATAATATGTTGATAGGTATTATCAGATTTGGGGGACCTGTCCTGCTATTTATTTACTTACTTAGTGTGTGTGAATGTGTTTGTTATATGCAGTAGAGGAGGACATTTGGTTTCCTGCTCTTTCTTGTCCTTTCTCTTGCTGTCTTTTTCACTTGAGACAGGATATCTTACTAAATCTGAGCCTATGATATTAAACGGACTGGCTAGCTATCACACACTACGGGTCCTTCTGTTTTTGCTTCCCACAATGCTGTGCCTAGCATTTTCACATGGGTGCTGGGGTGGAAATCAAATCTTCATGGTTGTGCAATAAATAACCTTATGCCAAGAGCAAGTCATTTAAAACATAACTGAGTACTGGGAAATGACAGGAAATGTTCTATGAACATACATGTTCAAACACAATTCATGATACAGGTTTCTTTTTTATATATAGCTACTTAGGAGTGGTGTCTATGGATCAAAGTCACCCACTGCAGATACGTTTCATGTCAACAGTGTACTCCAAGAGTAGACACATGGGGGAAGGTCTAGGCCCTGCTGGAAATGATATGACAGACTTTGAAGATCCCCCATTGAAGGCCTCACCCTCCCTGGGGAGCAGAAAGGGGTTAGGATTGGAGGTTGGTGGGGTGCAGGGGAGGAGAGAAGGGAGAAGGAACTGGGATTCACATGTCAAACAAGCTTGTCTCTAATTTAAATTAAAAAAAATACTTAATAAAAAATTCCCAGCAGACCAATCAAACAGAAAATAAAGGAATGTTGATGTTGAGAAAAGATGAGAACTGTTATCTCATTGAAATGCAAATTCATGAAAATAAAATATTTACAGAATGAATTAAATAAATAAAATGATACAATTAGCAAAACTTTTGAAATTATCTCATCAGTTATAAAGTCACAGTACTGATAGGGCAAATTTCAAATTTCACAAAACTTAAAAAATTTACAAGATCTAAACACCACTTAAGCACATTAACATAATCAATTCAATTTAATGCAAGAAGAATCACTAGGAAGGAATAAACAAATTACAGAAAGATAAGATACTAGTAATCCAAGAATGATTAGTGACATTAAATATACAAAAGCAAGGATTGATGAAAGAAAGGATGCAAAGACAGAATGAAACCAAATGATTTAATACTGAATTTAATACTGAATATAATAGATTTGTATTAATATTGACATCATAACACTGTCGATAATTTACAGATTTGCATAAACACATTTGAGTATTCATTGCTCCTCTTAAAATAATTGGTTTTCTATAATTAAAAACTACTTTATAGGGTAGTATATTCTAATTGATAGATAGATTTAGCAGAGCAGAAAACATTAGATTTACCATAGTTCAAAAGAATTGATTAGACAGTACTTGTTTTATCGAAACTATTTTGCATGAGAAAAGCTATGAGACAACATTCAATGGCCTTTGGAATATGACTTAAAATTTGTAAAACTGGTTACAATTTGGAGATATATGACTGGCAAAACTAAAAGTGCTTATTATCATCTTAATAAATTAACTCTTAATTTAATCCAATATTACCCAGTTTTATTTGAAAATTTCTTTAGTATATTTTAGGATACCTAGAGATATGAATTTAGTCACAGTTCCACCATCAAGAACACAGATGTTGCATTATATGAATAACATCTGCTGAAGCAGCTGTTGTCACCATTTAAGTTCAAGCCGTTGCCAAGAAGTACTTTTCCCCATTGCTGTATTTGTTCATTTTGGGAGAATGATCAGGGAGCAAGTGCCAGTACTAGATGTGATGATTACAGTAGAGGGTGATTTGGTGGGCCTCAAGTGGGCCTTCATGTCTTTGCAAATCGAATTGTCTGACTTGCTGCCAGGGCACATTGGAGTGTACTTTACAGACACACTGAAAAGCTCTGCTAACAGTGATGCTGAAAAACTGTTCTTCATTGAAGGTGATTATGAACTCTACACTGGAACCAGCTAAAAACCATTTACCCAGAATGGCATGCCTGCAATGCACTGGACTGACACAAGAGGAAACAAGCACAATTTGAGCAGAAGACTCAATAATGTTGGCAATAAAAAGAAACTTCCACATCTTCTTGGTCAGATGTCTATGTCATCCCCTGTCATAATTGACTTTTGTCAACCTTACACAAATGTACACACTGCTTGGAAGAGAAAATTTCAATTGAGGATTATCTCCATCAGTTTGACCTCTGGGTATGTCTGGAGAGATATTTTCTAGATTTCTAATTGATGTAGGGAAGCCTAGTCCTCTGTAGACAGGTCATTCTGTGTTGTAAAAGGAAAGAAGGTAAGCAAACAAAGCAAGTCAGTTAACTCATCCCCCCATGGTTCTGCTTCAGTTCTCTCCCCCTTGCTTTCTGGCTTTGGCTAACTTTGGTGATGATTTATAACTTTTAGACTAAAATAAATCTTTTCCTTGTCAGCTGCTATTGTTCATGGTTTTTATTAGAGTAACTAAGAAGCATATTTGGGAACATGTGCCTTTAAATTAGTGTTTGAGTCTAATTCTTGTATGTAGAATTCAAAAATTAGGCACCACAGTCCTTGATTTAACATATAAATATTAAACAGATATTCTAATATCAAACAGAATTTTCACCAATTATTAACCATGAGAGTGAGATCAGACATATAATTATTTCTTTTGTACTTTGCCTCACAAAGATAACTTTAATTAGAAGTAAACTGTGACTTGTATGAATTATTTGTTAATTTGCCTCAGGCTATTATGACCTATCCATCAAGACAAACAGAAGCTGAGTATAGATGTTAAGTATAATATGTTCAACTCTATAAACTGTGAGATACACAAGAATCCACTAAGGAGAAGGATATTAAAAAATTAACTGTACCACAGTTTTCTCACGGTGGAAGGAGTAAAGCTACAAAACATAGAATGAACTATATGTCAATGCTTTGTGAAAGCATCCATAAGGTGATTTTTAATGCACTATGTCTTCTTTTGTAAGCTAATTGTCTTCTTTTGTAAGATAAACAAAATGCTTTTGACACTATTCGTGCTAAGTTTATAAAGTCTCTCAGGAGCACATTTGCTCTTTGCTCTCACTAGGTCACATGTTAAAAACTACTAGTGATGAGTAGTGTTACAGAGACATCACAAAAAGAAGCTCAAGTTCACTTATGCTGTTTGACTTCATAGAATGTAATTTTGCTCAGTGTTAACATCCAAACTATTAGGAAATTAGAAGATGAGTGAAAGTTGGAAAGATGCAAACACTTACCAGAAAAAAAAAATCAGATTTTCTAAATCAGTTGTTGAAACCCCATTGCAAACCTCTATCTCCAAAAATATTGACAAGTGTTATGATTCACAACAGTAGCAAAATTACAGTCATGCAGTATAAATGAAATATTTTTGTGGTTGGTAGTCACACAATATGGGGAACTGTATTAAAGGGAGGAAGCATTAGGAATGTTGAGATCCACTGCTCTGGATAGAAGTACTTAAGTCACTGGACTCACCAAGGGCCTACCTTCTGTCTATTAAAGAAAATACACTGTCTGTTTTATAATTGTCTACTCCTCCTGGACATGGCTCTCAGGCTATACTTCCAATGGTGATGTCTCCTTTTTACTCCTCTTTCTGCATATTTAAATCACTGTCTGTCCTTTCCCCTACTACATAAAAATGTCATCCCATCAGTTTCTTCAAGTTAAAAGTTTATAGATTCTATACAGAAGATGATACAGATTCTTTTTGTTTTGTTTTGTTTTTACCATAGAAAATATAGTATGTTTGTCAAGTTGGCTGCTAAAACCTGGATACAGTATGTAAATACTTCATAATACAGAAAGTAAGACTCCAAGAATAACCATTCATTGTGAAGAATAGTGGGGACAGAGAAGAAAAGGAAGAGGAAACCTAATACAGGAGAAAACTGAGACTACCCTCACAAGAGGCCAAGGTGACTGAGTATGACTTAGTTAATGAATGGGAAATAAAGAGAATATAAAGAGAAGGTAAAGCATAGTAAATGGTTCCATGAGAAGGTATGGGGATCTTTCAATAATGTATATCTAGACTAAGAAAGAAGCCAATCTGAGAAAACAACATATGTTGTCCTTCTAGTTATCTGACACTCTGAGAATAGGAAAATGCAGGGAGAAGGTTAAAAAACCAAGGTTGTCAAGGACTTTAGAGAAAGAAAGAATGAGCAAACAGAGCACATATTATTATTATTATTATTATTATTATTATTATTATTATTATTAATGCATTTTCTTTTTGTTTAAATTAGAAACAAGCTTGTTTTACATGTCAATCCCAGTTCCCTCTTCTTATCCTCCTCCCCTGTCCCCCACCAACCCCCATGTCATCCCTTTTCCATGTGGGATTTTCAAAATCTGTCATATCATGTGGAGCAGTGCCAAGGCCCTTCCCCATGTGTCTAGGCTGAGAGAGTATCACTATATGTGGAGTGAGCTCCAAAAGTCCAATCTTGTACTAGGGATAAACACTGACCACTACCAAAGGCCCAATAGATTGCCCAAGCCTCCAAACTGACATCCACATTCAGGAGTTCTAGATTTGTCCTATAACGCTTGCTTTCCCAGCTATCAGTATGGGGCCCATGATATCTGAGCTCCGCCCTTGTTCAGGTCAGCTGTTTCTGTGGGTTTCTCCAGCCTGGTCTTGACCCCTTTGCTCATCACTCCTGCCCCTCTGCAACTGGGTTCCAGGAATCCAGCTCAGTGTTTAGATGTGGGTTTCTGCTTCTGCTTCCATCAGCTATATAAGGTAGTCATCAATCTCGTTATAGGAGAAGGGTATTTTAGGTAGTCTCTCACTATTGCTGAGACTGTTAGTTGGGGTCATCCATGTAGATCTCTGGACACTTCCCTAGTGCCAGATTTCAATTTAAACGTATAAGGGCTCCCTTTTCCTGCTCTCCTCTCTTCTTCCCCTGACTCAATCTGCCTGCTCCCTCATGTCCTCATTTGCCCTCCTCTTCTCCCCTTCTCATTCTCCTAACTCCCTCTCCCCTCCCCCCATGCTCACAATTAGCACAGGAGATCAAGTCCCTTTCCCCTTCTCCAGGAGACCACGTGTGTCTCTCTTAGGGACCTCCTTGTTTCCTAGCTTCTCTGGAGGTGTGGATTGTAGGCTTGTAATCTTTGCTCTATGTCTAAAGTGCATATATGAGTTGGTATATACCATGTTTGTCTTTTTGTGGCTGGATTACCTCCCTCAGGATGGTTTCTTCTAATTCCATCCATTTGCCTGTGAATTTCAATATTCCATTTTTTTTACACTGAGTAGTACTCCATTGTATAAATGTACCACATTTTCTTTATCTGTTATTCAGTTGAGGGGCTTCTAGGTTGCTTCCAGGTTCTGGCCGTTACAAATAATGCTGCTATGAACATAGTTGAACAGATGTCCTTGTTGCATGAATGTGCATCTTTTGGGTATATGCCTAAGAGTGTATTTCTGGGTCTTGTGGTAGACTGATTCCCATTTTCCTGAAGAACCGCCATACTGATTTCCAAATGGCTGTACAAGTTTGCACTCCCACCAACAGTGGAGAACTGTTCCCCTTTCTCAACATCCTCTCTAGCATAAACTGCCATTGGTGTTTTTGATTTTAGCCATCTTAACAGGGGCAAAGTGGTATCTTACAGTTGTTTTGATTTGCATTTCCCTGATGGCTTAGGATGTTGAGCACTTTATTCAGTGTCTTTCAGTCATTTTGGATTCCTGTATTCAAAATTCTCTATTTAGTTCTGTACCCCCCTTCTTAATTGGATCATTTGGTGTTTTTCTAACTACCTTCTTGAGTTCTTTGTATATTTTCGAAATCAACCCTCTGTCAGATGTGGGGTTGGTGAATATCTTTTCCCGTTCAGTTTGCTGCCATTCTGTCTTGTTGATTGTGTCCTTTGCCTTAGAGAAGCTTCTCAGTTTCAGGAGGTCATATTTATTAACTGTTGATCTCAGTGTCTGTGCTAGTGGTGTTATATTCAGTAAGCAGTCTCCTGTACCAATTAATTCAAGGGAACCTTTTTCTTTTTCTTTTAAGAGGTTCAGTGTGGCTGGATTCATGTTGATGTTGTGATCCATTTGGACTTAAGTTTTGCACAATAGATATGGATCTATCTGCAGTCTTCTAATGCCAACATATATTTATGCCAGCACCATTTGTTGAATATGTAGCTCAGAAATTAACTGTAAATTAAACTATGCACTTACTGGATAAACAAGTATAAGTGACTATCATGTGTTGATGGTAGAATAGTTTGCACCTTAGGATAGTGTAATAAGATGTAGCCATGAATGGTGCCTGGAATTTTAATTTCTTCTGCTCAAATTTTAATAAACATAAAACTGCTCTTAAAACTTGGAAGGAGGAGGTAGGTCAAACTGAAGAAGGTAGAGGAGTCTAAATGGGATGTCAATTGTGGCAGTTTGAATAAGAACGGCCCTCGAAGCTCATATAATTCATGTTTAGTCACCAGGGAGTGGAACTGTTTGGTAGCATCAGAAGGGAGGAAGTGTGTGTGTCAGTAAGGTGGGATTTGAAATTTCAAAATCTCTGCCAGGCCCAGGCTCTCTATGTCTCTTTTTGTCATTATCTCTGTCTGTCTCTCCCTCCATCTCTCTGCTTATGGATCATGATGTAGAGCTCTCAGAAAAGTCTCTACTAAAATGTCTGCTTGCATGATACCAGGATACTAGCTGTGATCACATTGGACAAACCTCCAAACTATAAGCCAGCCCAGATTTCTTTTATAAGAGTTGCTGTGGTCATGACGTCTCTTAACAGGGATACAACATTGAAATAGAAATATATAAGTGATTTGATGAGGGAAATGGGAAAAACTGAAGCTCCTTAGAGATGGGAAGGAGATAAATAATGAAGTAAGTGGGGAAAGGATAAAAGGGAAGTAGCAGAATACAAGTGATCTGATAGGAGAAATGAGAATGGTGATCCTTAAAGAAGGGGGGAAGATCAATAAAGGAAAAAGAGGCAGACAGGTAAAACAGCAATATAGGTCACTGAAAATTTCACAAGGAATCATACTATTAATTATTTAACAACAAAGGAAAAACTCCAATTAGTATAATTAAAAGTATAAATAAACATGTATAGCTCTAATAAGTTTTTCTCATCTGGGCAGATGGTACTCCAAGAGCCAAAGACCGCCCAACAAACAAGCTAACACCAGACATGAGACACCCACTTTAGAATAGTTCAGTGTTATATAAGAGACTCCCCAAACATGTAGTCTATTATTATCTCATTTGGTTAACCGCTAGAGATGGAAGGTAATTTCCTACTGCTGATGATATGCTGTACTTCAGGAACAGGGCCCAGAGATCCCTAAGCTGTAACTGACCTGAAAGCTCCCTCCCCAGGGATTACTTCTTATTATGCCAGAAGATGCATTGGGAGTTCCAGAGGAACCAGCAATTCTATCTAACTATGACACTTACAGACTTCACAAATGACAAGCCTGACATGATAACTATATGGATGCAGTAGTAGCAAAAATACCTTAGCAGTAACCAACAGCTCTCTAACTGGACATAAGACATTCTCAAGAAAAGGAACAGCATGCATGGTACTGGAAACTTAGTTAACTACTCGGGGTTAATGATGATTATTGGAAGACAATCTTCATATATGAATTTACTAAACCAGAATAATACATGAAAAGAATCTATAAAATATGTTTTTATACCCACAGATAAGTGTAGTCTTCACCCATTATTAAAGAAACCTGCTTTTGTAACAAAGACCATTAGAGAAAACCACAATGAATCAAAATGCAGAGTTGTGGCACCCAGTTCCAATGGATAAATCTACAAAACTTTTCTGAACCTAATAGTCAGGAAACATCACAGAATTGGGGAAAGAATGATTTTTAAGAGCCAGAGAATCAGAGAGTTTTCTGTGAGATTGTGCCCTAGGAATGTCAGAGTCTCATCATATAATCTCACCAAATGACTTGTCCAAATACGAACTTAATAAGCAGGTCACCAATAAACATGCCTAACCTCAACTCTATACAAATAACCAGAGGGAAATGAGTAAAAGCTGGAAGTGGGAGGCATGGTCCTTTCCAGGGAAGAGCACACCAATTAGATGTCCAGTGCCAAGCAGTTAGCCTTGAAAACATACACACAAGTAATATTACATGGACTCAATGGGTTATATTTAGAACTATGTATGTGTATACAAATTCTCATATGCATTCAACAACAGTTAATGAAAGGAAGAGACCATGAACAAGAAAAAGTGCTGGCAAAAATATATGGGAGGATTTGGAGGGAAAAAAAGGAAAGGCAGAAACATTGTAATTAAAATCTAATCTCAAAAATAAAACAACAACTGATTGTTAGTTAGAAATGGTGGCACATGTCCATATCTCCAGCTCTTAGAAGGCAAGAGGAATATCAGGTCAGGCAATCACTTGATAAACTACTTTACTACATGTACCTGTTTTGGCTCCATCATACCCAAAACTGGGTGAAAAGAATTTCAAGCATTGGAAAGAGTGTTTGGAACTGCAGAAGAGTCTGTGAGCTGTTCCTACTGCATTGCCTACCCTGCCCTGCACAGATGGTGATTTCTTCAAAAGAAGACACCTGACCATGACATCAGTGTTTATCTGTGGCCAGTGAGAAACAGGAAAGGCTGTAATTGTATTTTTGCGCAACCTTTTTTTTTGTTTTTTTTAAGGAGTAGAGTTTCCATAGTATATATGTATGCATGCATGTATGCATATGTGTATTTGTTTATTTATGTGTATTTGAATGATATTGTACAAGGAAGGGAGAGGAAGGTGACACAAAGGGGAATGGCAGAATAAATACTATCTAATAAGGGAAAAAGCAGTCTTCTAGGGAGATGGAGGGAGACAAATATAAGAGAAAGAAGAAAGTCAATAAAATATAGCAATGGATATGGATGAAAAAGGCT